AATTTTTTTTAGGTCTTAGTTTTTTCTGAGTGTTAATAATTAAGTGCTAAGTGCTCTTGTAAAAGTAGTGTATTACTAATACACACCTTTGATACAAGTGTTGTTTCTCTTCTTTAGGCCTTAAATTTAGAGCCATTGAATTATATGTGGAAATAGTAAAGTCTTTGCTATTTCAACGATTTAAAGTTACTCTTATCTTTAGATCTTTAAAAATGTTACTACTAGTGTTAATGTAGGGAGAAGTTTCCTGGGGGAAAAAGGAAATCCATATCTACGTAGTATAACTGTCAAACTAATTGCTCCTGAGGCAGAAACAACCCACAGCTGACCCTCCCGTGGGTTTTCACAGATAGTAAACTACACAGGAGGAGATTGCTCTTCTTTCTCCTGAGGAGCAGCTGGTGGATTTGAAAAGCTGGTGCCTTTGGGTTGGCAACGCTGCTGCTTACCCATTAGGCTGCCAGAGCTCCCTTAACTCATATATATTTTCCTAGAGAATTCTAGTATCTCACTAACAAGAAGGCTCCTCAGGATTTTACTGAAAAACAGAATGTTGTCCAATTTGTTTTACTATCTGGAGGGTTTGATCCAGAGTGGTTTCAATGTGCTTATGTCCACTTAAATCTTAAATATCTGGCTTTCACCCCTTTTTCTCGGCAGAAGCCCTGGTCAGCCAATAGGCAGTGGTCCTCCATTGGGATTGAAACTACAGACGTTTTTAGTCACTTACGTTTCACTTCTTCCAGATGATGTAAAGAGTAAGTGCCAGTAAAAACAGTTTTTTAAAACATATATTTGCTTCATTTTTAATTTAACAGCTTTAAGTAGCAGCCTGGACAGATAAAGCTTCATTTTTAATTTAACAGCTTTAAGTAGCAGCCTGGACAGATAAACAATTTATCAAATGTTACCAAAATAGTTTCCTTTTTCCCAAAATATTCAAGTTTAAAAGTGACTGTTTGAAGTGAAATTTTCTACAACGAGTTAACTTTCCATTCAGCCATCCAAACCCATTCGGCTTGGCGACATTAATGACCACATCCACATTGTGACCACGTTCTTCCTACTTCCTTTGAGCGTGGGCACATTTTCCGAGCCCTGTCCCTTTGCAGATGCTGCTCTTTGAAGCTGTTCTCATTGGTGGCTCTCAGGTATGAGCACCTCCTGTGTTATTGTCCCAGTCCAAAGCTTGTCTGTAGCGTGTCTGCAAGGCCATGGTTATAGAGGCCTCACAGGACTTTTCAGACCAGCAGGGTGGCTGTTTCTATGGGTTTGGGTGTTGTTCGACAGTGAGACCTTCTACAGTGGTTAGCCAGGCACCATCTGCTTCTGGACAGGAAGAGAGTAATTATACCTTAGTAGGCTTGTAAAAAACGCCAACTCCAGTCACTGCTCACCACAGAGCTCTAGTGGACTTAGAAAAGTTACACTGCCAACCCAAAGGCCTGTGGTTCAAATCTACCAGCTGCTTCATGAGAGAAAGGTGGACAGTTAGTTGCCTTTCTTGATTTACAGCCTCGGAAAACCTAGTGGAGGGTCTGCTAGGAGTTGATTCTGACTCAGTGGTACACAAGAATATACACCCACCCCCCTCCAAGAAGGATGTAGATTATGCTCATTGACATTGATGGCCCCAGAGGTCATGATCCCGATCCCTAGGACCAGCAGCTGATCCCCAAAGGGCATTTGGCTGTGGTTGAGAAGTTTCTGTAACTTCCCCCTGTGGACTCTATACCTGTATGTCTTAAAGGATAGACAAACATGCTTACAAAAATACTTTCTGCCAAATCTCTGGATGCTCATGTGTGTGGTTCCATTCTCCCATCCCTATATGTTTGTCCTGCCTGTGTGTCCACTTGTATGTTAGCATTTATCACTGATAATGCAGACACAGGATTTGTAATCACTGATGATGCAGGGTGGTGTGTGTGGTAATGTTTGCTTTGTTCCCTATGTCTCTCGTGCCCTTTTATGTAGTGACATGTGGTAACCCTACTCTATATTGTGATTGCATCTCCCTCCACCCAACTTAGCAGTGTCCACTCTGGTCACTGACTTTTCCTGGTCACCGTACAAAAGTGCACTGCACTCAGGTACATACTTGTGCCATTGTATGTTAGCAGGATTTCTTGAAGTCGTTTTAGAAGCTGTGCTTTTGTTAGACATCTAATTGCTTTTCAGTTTCAAAATTGAGAAAAATAGTTACTATTTTTCTAGAAAAGAGAGACCATGGGTTTAGAAAGAACCTGAATTTAGGAAGAAAGTTGAAAATAGCTATTCTGTCAAAGATCTTTGACAAAGGCATTCTTTCCCCTTTCTGACGCGGTGTTCCTAGTCAGTAAAGCGTACAAGAAGTGCTGTTCTGTTTGCTGAGCAGAAGTACTAACTCTGAGAACATCTCTTATTCTTGCCTCTGTGACTTGTAAAGTGACTCACAAGTGTATGAAATAATCTTTTTCATTTTACTTTAATATCTGCATAGAGTGATGTATCTGTAAGTCAGAAACCTTAAAGATAGGCTGGCTAAGGGAGCTCTGGTGGCCTAGTGGCAGGAAGCCGCACTGCAATACCAGAGGTGCGCGGTTCAAATCCACCAGATGGTCTGCTGGAGAAGGAGGGGCAATCTCTTCCTGTACCTGTCAGACCCAATTTGACGGCACACACACACAAAATAATAAAATTAAAAAAAAAAAAAAAGATAGGCTGGCTATATTTCATGACTAAGTTTAAATTTATAGCAAATTAATGGGTTTTATTGCATTAGAAAATAAACAGATAGAGAAGAGGATTGAATTGTCAAAGATGTTCTTTACTTTGCTAGAACTTAGAAGTTTCTTTCATAGCAGTTTCTTTTGTTTCTGGAGTTAATATGGGGATTAATTCAAATCTGCCAGCCCTGTGGGTCCCTCTCATACAGCGTGTGTGAAATAGCAGGTGGCCTTTCTGGTGTTTGTGGTTTAGTACCAGACCTTTGACTATGAGATGGACACTGGGTATTGCCCGGTTTCTTAGGGTGTGAGTGGGTTTTAGGCAAAGGATAGCATTTAGTAAACTTGTGCTACAAAGACAGGTAAATAAAATGTTTTTATTACTGTTGGCGTAGTAGTTTTTCCAGAAAATTATTTCCAGTGGATGCCGTTAGTATATTTAGCTTTGTGCTACGTAGCTTGGAAGCTATAAAATACATTTACTACCCTTCTAGAAACATCTCAAGATGTCTTACAAATGAATTGTTCATTGTCGTCAAGTCAGAACTGACTCAGAACTTACTCTGGTAAGTTTTTAAAGACATTTAATTCTGCCTAGAATGAGTGATCATTCTACTCTGAAGAAGTGAGAAAGCATCTAGATATTTCCATCAACAGCATGACGTAGAGTTCTCAGCACAGCTCACATTAACACAATGAAACCCAGAGCCTGTCTGTACAGTACAGCAGATGGAACACTTAACTGAATAGGAATGAAATGAAAATAGTGATTTTTCCAGCAGTGCATTTGAGCTATAATTTACAAAACACAGAATTGAGTGGCTTTTTGTATGTTTACAAAATTGTGCATTTGTCACCACTATCTCATTTTAGATTGCTTTCTTCCCCCCAAAGAGAAAGCCATACCCATTAGCGGTCAGTTCCCTTTCTCCTCTCCTAGTCCCTGGTAGGGAGCTTTGGTGGCCTAGAGGTAAGAAGCTGTGCTGTGATTGCAGACTGACTCCACCAGCTGCTCCAAGGCAGGGAGTTGGGCAAGCTCCTCACGTGCACTTTATTGCCTCTGAAAACCCACTCGAGGGTCAGTTTTGAGTTGGCTGTGACTTGATGGCATCTGACAACAAGGATGACTAATGTTTATGTGTGCTTATTTGCAACTGTGGTTTTTGGTGTTCGCCTCCCCCCCCCCCAGGTGGTTTCCTGTTGAAGTTCATTCAGAAAATGAGCACTCGACGCTGGTGTGCTGTTCCCATTTTGTTTCTGTCCAGAGCTCTGGCCAGTGTCCCCCGATGTAAAGCACTAGGGATTGAAGGGCTTCTTGTTCTCAGGTAACTCACTCTGTGTGTGTGTGTCACATGGGTCATTTTCCAGTTTTGTTTTCTGCCTGCTGTAACTCACAGAGTGTTTTTAGGTGATACCATCTTTGGGAGGATTTGTGAACTCTTAATTTTATGTATGAAAGCAAGTGAATTTAAAAAAGCCTATTATTTTAGACATGTTGCTAGGAGAGACTATTCCTTGGAGGGGACATCATGCTTAGAACGATGGAGGGTGAGCAGAAGAGAGAACGCCACTCAAACGGGTGGAGTGAACATGTGGCTGCAGCAATGGGCTCAAGTGGCAGAGATGATGAGGATGGCACAGGACAGGACAGGGTTCACAGGGCCGTCATGCTCGGCAGCACCTAACAACATTATGTAAAGTTGGACTGACTTTGTTACGAATTACTATATTTCAATTTGTACTACAGCATGTGCTGTTGGATTTTGATCACTTCATGATCAGCAGGTTTTTATTACAATAACGTAGAAGGAAGTAAAAGGCCAGATAATAGTATTGATAAGATACTATTCTGAAGAATGTAAATTACTACTTTAAAAGCAAATGGGGGAAAATGTATATCTTTATATGGGAATCTTTATTTTTTAAAAAAGATTTGTTTCATGTTAAAACCAAGTTCTGACAGATGCCTTACTAGAACATGATAGAGTTGAAGTTCTGACCATGATCATTTATATTAGAAATTGCAGATACGGTAGAGCAGCTTGTCAGTTCCTATCAGTTCTGATCTGTGGCAGTAAGGAGCTGTATTTTCACTTTCTGCTCCCAGGGATGTTCTTCAGTGTACCATGATAACACACCAGATTCTGCTCAGAGGGGCTGCTCAGTGCTATCTTCTTCAGACAGCTATGAATTTGCTTGATGTGGTAAGTTTGTCTCTTGTATTTGTTTAATTTTTAATCTGAGTGTATGAGTATACAGGGAGACGTGAACAGACCTGGGACTGCTGTAGTTCGCAAAGCTGCTGGTCAGGTCAGCTCTTGGTGGGTAGCTGGGAGCTCAGCATCAGAAGAAGGGCCCCGCCATCCTGACTTATGAGAATGACTTGTGCCTGCACTGTCTGTCCAGTGTGGTCTGTGCTGACACCTGCTTTCCTTCCAGATGTCTGCTAAGTAGTGTCTGTGCTAAGCAGAGGGTGCCTACGTGCTGACAGGACTGATTGAGCCCAGATGGTCTTAGTAACTCGGGACACTGAGTATGAAAATTGATAATTGGATATAAAATGGAAATTGAACCCTTTCAGGAGGGAGAATTTCATAACTTTTGAATCTTCCTCTGACTTTCTCAATTGTTTATGAGTGGCATATAATCAAAAGAACACTTAGGCCCAAATCTGTCTCCTGCTTCTAGTTACATTCAAGGCATAAAGTTTGGTGAGCAGTAATATGCTCTGTTTTATTTATTCTCACCCACGATCAAAGTGTTCCCCCTAAGAACACTTTCATATATTTTCACCCTGTTTTCTTGTTGTATGTGTAAAGCAGATTTGGTTTATATGAGAATTGCAGACAGTGAAAACTTTGTTTTATCTGAAAATTTACATACATTTGCATTCTAGTCCAGTATGTGTGTATGTGTATAATAAGACCATTTCTCAGGGGAGCTCTGGTGGCCTAGTGGCAAGAAGCTGCCCTGCAATCCCAGAGGCGCATGGTTCAAATCCACCAGATGCTCTGCCGGGAAAGGAGGGACAATCTCCTCCTGTACCAGTCAGATCTGATTTGACGATACACACACACGCGCGCGGGCGCGCGCGCGCACACACACACACACACACACAAAATAATAAGACCATTTCTCCATGTCTTCCAATAAATTGTCATCCATGGAGCTATGTTATCTTTACAGAGTCCCAGTAATACTCTTGCTGAGATCCACCCCACCAAAAACAAGCCCCTTACTGTTAAGTCCATTTCAGTTTGAGGGATCGATCCTCCATCAGGACTCTGAGGCTGTAAATCTTCATAAGAGCAGACTGGCCTGTCTTTGTCCTGTGGATATGCTGGTGAATGCAAATAAAGGACCAAATAGTAAATAAATATTTGGGGACAACTTTTCCACTCTGCCATGGTAGTGAGGTGTGCCATTTGTGAGCAGCTGTAGTCAGGTGGTGGTGCACGAATTCTACCACCAACTACCACTGGCTGTTCCCTCCCACAAAGCAGCTGAAATGGTTTATAAATGGCTGGGCATGGCTGTGTTAAAATAAAACCTTATTTAAAAACAGTGGGGGATATTTGCTGTACATGCCCATTCTTGACTAGAATGAGGTATCTTAATTTAAAGTACATAACCTTAATGGAGTGAAAAGATTCAGGTTGTTTTCCTTAGTCAAATTGTAGTTTTCATGCCTTTGAAAAATGATTGCTTTCTGGCTTAAATTTTTGCTTTTATATATATTTTTCTTATTTAAGATTATAACCATCTTATCTATCATAGTGACCTTTGTGTTTAAGAAAAATGGACATAAGTAATTTATAAGTGCTTTCCAACCAGTATTTTCTTTTTAAAATTAGGGTTATGGGTTTTTTTTGGGGGGGGGCGCATGGGGGAAGAAAGGAATCAGGCCAGAAAGCATGAAGGCAGGGAGCTAACAGCTTGGAGAACTGCAGCCCCTATGCTATGCCTTTCTGGTTTTTTATTGAGAATCATCAGGAAGAAAACAAAGGAAAGGAATCATCAGGAAGGTAAACAAAGGAAAATCACAAGGGAGTAGTAAACAATAACAAAGGATCATGGGGAAGTCTTTTGTAATAAGGCCAAATTCTTCTTTATAGTTTACCTTTATGCGTATCTCAAGAGGGAAGGATTCAGTAAATACAAACTAAGAATTAAGTAGACTCTTAAGTATTGCCTTTAATGCCTACCCTGTAAACATTTAAGAATTGCCTTAGTGTTACAGGGTGAATTCTAGCTTGTATCAGCCTCCCTCCTATCCTGACATAGCATTTGGTTTATTATTAATATTAAATTTGATATTTGGCATCCCACATTTATCCCCTTTTGTTTTAAGCGTAATTTAGTGGTCATCAAGGCGAGTATGATTTCTTCAGGATTCATTCTTTCTTGTTCTCTTCATCCTTTATATATAATCAGACAAATAGAACCGATTAAGCAAAATAAGTTCACAAAAATACTTCCAAAATTCCCCCTATGATCAGAAGGATTCAGGTCAGATATTCCTTGAGAGTCTGTTTTTATTGTCATAACTGCATTCCTTAAAGGTTGGTTTCTATTGTCATATTGCCACAGACAGTCTTGTCAAAACCAGTTCCGATTGATCTCCTTTGTCAGCATGTTCTTTGCCATTCCCTGTCACTCCCCCCCTGAGAGAGATTTCACCCTGGTTGATTAGGAGAGGGGCACCACATTCTCTTAGCTACTTCCTGCTGGAAAAGGGCGTTGTAGGTCAGGTCCCATGGTGAAGATCTTCTCTCACTACTCTAAAGGGCCCCTTTGACAATAGGGAACACATAGGCTATTGTGGAGATTGATTTTGGAATTTAGATGCATTGTTTCCAGTTGTGCTTAGGGATACAGGTTCATATCCTTCATATCATTTTAACATGGAACTGTTGAAGCCTAGAAGACACAGATTTAACTAACAAGTTAAAAATACGTGGGCCAAAAATGAAAAGCAATAATATTCCAACTAGAGGTTCTAGCAGTGGCAAAAGCCAAGTTACAGAGGGAAGATAGTTCTTAAAATAAAAGGCTTATAATTAAGAATGCCTAGCACAGGTGCCCAAAAGAACTGCCTATGAGGTTTTCCGTCAGTTCCAGCAACTAAGGAATAGTGGGAAGAGAGTGGACCTGAGAAGGCTTATAGGACCAAATAAGAAGCTCTTGTATCCTGGAGAAAATGGATAGACTTACCAGCAACATCACTGCTCACCCACGGCTCTTCTGGGAGGACCTGAATTGTTGAAGCATCCTCCTTTGTTGCCATCTGGGAGCTGGGGCCTCATCAGTCCTCTGTGGATTCAGCCATCAGGACCTGATGTGGGCAGCCCTTGCCCTAGTGTCCTTCAGAACCACACAGCAAGTGATTGGGAGTGTCCTCTCTGCCCCCTTGCCTACCTGTGATTCTTGCTTGTGACACTCTCTCTACTAAAGTGGCCCAGCTTTCCACAATGGAAGCAATTCTGACTTCCTTTATTACCTTTGGGTGGTGTTGACCATTTATTAGTAAGACTTCCTTTTCCTAACACAGGTGCTAAATTGGCAGCAATAGCTGCCCTAATAATTTTGGCCATTCTCTGGTCTTTTCTCTCTCCCTCTAGATCCTGGTTGTTAAAGACAGTGGCTGCATGTTTTAAAAGTTCATTCAGATTACTTTGAGGCCTTATTGCCATGCACTGAAGATGGAAAAATTTAAACAAATATATAAAAAAGAATTTTGAACAATATTATATTTTAAGTTTAAAGCTAGTAATATTATCAGTGTGATTGTACAAATAATTTCCAATCCAAAGAGATACAGGTTCCAATGCAGTTCCTATTTTTCATAAATGTTTTTGGAAAGAAAAATACTGTAAATGTGGGTGTAAATGTGTAAATGTTCCACTATTCCTCCTCCATGCCATGATACAGTGTTATTAGCATGAGTAGTTATAAATCCATTGCCTCCCTTACACTAACTTAAAGATTTGGTATTTCTATGCTGACGAGCAGAACCAACAAGGCTCCAATCAAAGAAGCTTCCATAGGAAGTATTAATTAAAACTCATCTTTGCTCTTCTCAGTATTGTTTCCAATTTAAAGATAAAGAAGGCAACTGACAGAGAGGAATATCAGGATAACCTAAAGTTGTTACTGGTGTCTCCATGAAAACTATGCCCTTGAAATACCTACTGGAGAGATAAAATATTACCCAAAGCTTTATAAAGCCATTGAACTAATTTTAACAAGAGAGTATTAGAAATATATGCCCAGTAGCTGGTATTATCTGCCATTTTGCAACTTCGTCCTTGTCAAAGTACAGCCTTTTTTGACTCGTCTTGGGGTTTCATGTTTTTCGAGGGCACCTACAGCATTTCTGAGCCTGTAGAGATATAAGCTATTCCTCACCCTCCCCTAATAATCCCTTTTTCCATGCATTAATTAGAGGTTCCCTATAATATATAGGGTGATTGAATTTTAAACTCCTCTATCCTGTGCCAACCTCACTGTCTCTGACACACCTACTCCCATTACCCCCATCACTGAATCAGTCCACCTCATAGAGGGTCTACCTCTCCTGCACTGTCCTTCTGCCCTCCCAAGCAGGATGTCCCTCTCCAAGGACTGGTTTCTCCTTGCAGCAAGACCAAGGTATGTCAGACAAAGCCTCAGAAAAGTAGGATAGAAAAAGTTTAATGATACTGACAGTGTTAAGTATACTTAACAGTGATACTCCGTTGGGAGTGCCAGTGCTAACCTAAAGTCATGCTTTTCTGGTGGTTCAAATCCACCAGAGAGCTACCAGCTGCTCTGCATGCCAAAGATGGACAGTCTCCTCCCACGTGATTTACAGCCTCTGAAAACCCATGGGAAGGTCAGCTCTGAGTTGGTACAGACTGGATTACAATAATACTCCTTTAAATAATAGAACTGCTTGCATTCACTGTGATATTATCTCATCCAGTTAACAATTTTTAAAATGCATACTTAAAAAAAATCTCTCCCTTTCTCTTCAAGGAAAAAGTGTCTTTTTCGGATGTCTCCTCTTTTCTCATGTCTCTGAGAGAAGACGAATCCTTAAGACGAGGAACTTCATTGTGGACAGAGGTGAGATTTTAAAATAATTCAATGATAAGATTATTTAAAACTTTATATAACTTTTTTGTGATCTAATTTATTACTAATCATTTGTGTAAATATTAATTACTGTAATATTTGACAACAGAGGATACAAGTTTTTGTATATTGCTTTGAGTAACGTTAACAAATAATGCCACAGAGATTTTCCATTTTATTCCACATTTACCTCCTGCTCTGAGCAGGATCCTCTCCTGTGACCTCTTTGAAGGCATCTAGCAGCGGTAGTGGCCACCATCAGTTCTTCTGGTCTTGGGATACCAAAGGTTAAACTCCACATAGTTTGTTAATCCTGCACTAATTGTTTTATTGTGTCTTGAATTTTCTTCATTCTACTTTTGTCCAGACAGACAGAGACCAGTAGTTTCATGTTAAATAACTTCACACAAGCTTTACAGACCCCACATCGTAATAATCAGAGTAGGATGTTGAACTGCTCTGTGAACTGTAATGCCAGCTACTTTTCCTGTCTCCTGGGTCCTGGTCTCTGCTCAGGAGCTGCTGGTGGTTTAAACCCTGAGAGGGTCCTGAGGCCCTAGAGTTTGCTGGTCAGTCCACCTAGGTGTTTGGGTTTTCTTTTTAATTTTGGTGGTGGGTTTTTTGGTTTTTGGTTTGTTTTTGGGTTTTTTTTCAGTGTTTGGTTTTGATTAAGATGTTTATAGCACTTTGCCACCCCCCTATTGGATCCCACATAGATATATTTGCAACGTGTGTGTGCAGAAATATTTTCTGATCCCTCTCTGGTCATTGGTATATTCCTTTTCACTGGCCCCTTACCTTCTGCCTTTGTATTCATTTGTCTTACTGTTGTGTGCCATCAAATTGAAACTGTCCCATAGCTAACCCTCCAGTGGGTTTTCAGAGGCAGTAAGTCAGATTAGAGCAGATTGCCCATCCTTCTTCTGCCATAGAACAGGACAGTGCATGTGCGTAAGGTCTTTTCAGAGGCTGTGTGCCTTTTGAACCTCTCCATGTCTGCTCTTCTTTCGTGATAGTGTATTGGTCATCTCAGTACTATTTAGTGCCTGTTTCCTACTTAGCTGATTTTGTCTCTCTTCTCAGCTCTGGTAACCAACAAAAAAATATTTCTTTCTGTATGTAAACTTCTTTGCCTTGATGATAGCAGACTCTGCCCTTTGGGACCAAGTTCTTTGACTCTGCATAATGTCCTTTGGAGTTAACGTATGCTGTGTTGTGTTGTGTGAAATCTTCATCCTTCACTGTTGTATAGTATTCCATTGTATATATGTTCCATACTTTGTTTATTCATTCATCCACTAATGGGCTCTTAAGTTGTTTCCATCTCTTTGCTATTGCAGTATTGAACCTGGAGGATTCAAAATGGTCAGAGAAAACTGCAAGCTTCTCTCTTTATAGTAGTCTATGGGTTTGGTTTTTTTGGTTTTTTTTTTGTTTTTTTTTTTACATGTTAAAAATATATCCAGAAATTGAGTCTGCTATCCTTTTAATGTCATTTGATTCTCTTGGGACGTTACCCATTTCATTTCTTACTTGAAACATCTTTCTGTTGTATTTGCCAGTGGTTGTCAATGTTATTATTCTTTTCAAGTATTTAGCTTTTAAGGTTATTTATACTTCTTGTGCATTTTCTATTGTCTGCTTCATTTATTTCTTCTCTAGTCATTAGTCTTTCCTTTGTTATGCAAACCATAGGCTTTTTCTGATAATTTATTCCAATTGTTGAGTTAATATAGTGATTTCGTTTTCCCGCCCTTACTTTATTTCCTTTGTTTTGATGTGTGCATCTGTTGCTATAAATTGACCTGAGTCCTGCTTTTGCTATTTCCCAAAGATTTTGATATGTTGTATTTTCATTCTGATTTGCTTCTAAGAATATTTTAGAGTCACACTTTATTTGTTAGAGTGCTATTCCATTTCCATATGTTTGGTTTTGTCACCTGGTCGTCCTCTTTATGATTTCTAGATGTATTGTGATGGGAAAGTCTGCTATTAGGAACCTCTCTAAAGTACTGAAGAGCAGTGGTGTCTCTCTGGAGAGTAAGGTCCGTCTGATACAGGCCATGGTCTTTGCAATCATTTGTTATGCATCAGAGTATTGGACAGTGACTAGGGAGGATACAAGGAGAGCTGATGCCTTTGAGCTGTGGTGCTGAAGAAGAGTGTTGAGGGTACCATGGACTGCTAAGAAAACAAACAGATTTGTCCGGGAAAGGGTTAAACCAGGCTGCTCCTTGGAGGCAAGGATTCTGAGGCTCCATCTAACATACTTTGGACATGTTGTAAGGAGAGACCGGTCCTTGGAGGACATCATGCTTGGGAGGGTGGGGGGCAGGCGCAGAAGGGGAAGGCCCTCTATGAGTTGGATTGATTCAGTGACTGGAGTGATCCGGATGGGTAGGGCTGCTGTACATAGGGTTGCTATGAGTCACAAGCAACTGTACGGCACATAACAACAACAGTTTTATAGCATTGTGAGCTTTGTGTTGCCCGTCCTTCTCCTGCAGAGGATCAGAACAATGTGTCTTCAAGATTGCAGCACAGCTTCTTGCCACTAGGCTACCAGTGCTCATTTGTGTGATTTTGTTGTCTTTAAATTTATTGAGGCTTGTTTTAAGGCCCAAGAAATAGTTGGTTCTGAAGAATGACCCATGTGCACTGGAAAGAATGTATGTTGTGTTTCTGTTGATGAATTATTCTTTGTATCTTTGCGGTCAGGTTGGCTGACTGAGTTAGGATCTTCTTTATCTTTTTTGTTAGTATCTTTTGTTCTGTTTTTCATGGGAAGTGGTGTGTTAATGTCTCCATCTGTTATTGAGATTAGAAAACACATACATGTATGTTTAAGGTACACACATGCACATATACACACATTTAGTCTTTTTTTGGTCTCAGTAGAACTCATTAATAACAATAAATGGCTTATTTCTTGGTTGCATTCAGTTACATAAAATTTTAATGAAAGTTTACAGAGACTTAGGTTTTCCATTCATTCATTTTTGCTTTTTATTCCCTGTCCACCACCACCACCCCCCCCCCCACCCCCGTTCACTCTTCTCTTTGAAAAGTGAAAGAAAAATTCTTTCATTGTTATACAATCCCTCCCCCCAGGTCCACTGCACTGTGTGCACCTTTCGTTCTGGACTCCTGTCATGACAATAATATCTAATCATATATCCCTTTTAAACAGTTCTCTCCCTTATCTGTTTCAATGCAGTATACATTATTTATCCCATCTTTCTCAGTCCTCCCTCAACCCTGATGTCAGTCCCGTTTTTATAACAGTGGCACTATGCAGTATTTGTCCTTTTGTGACTGAGAAATTTCACTCAGCATAATGTCCTCTAGGGTCACCCATTTTGAATAATATTGCATGAGTTCCTTGTTTTTCAATGCAGTGTAGTATTCCACTGTGTAAATATACCACAGCTTCTCTATCCATTCGTTTGTTGATAGGCACTTAGGTTGTTTCCAACTCCTTGCTATTGTGAACAAAACCGCAAAAAACATGGGTGTGCATATATCTGCTTGGGTGTCAGTTATGGTCTCTTTGGGGTATATATATTCCCAGTAGTGGAATTGCTGGGTCAAATGGTATCTCTGTTTGCAACTTTTTGAGAGAGCGCCATATCGCCTTCCACAGTGGTTGCACCATTTTTACACTCACCAACAGTGAATAAGGGTTCCAGTTTCTCCACAACCTCGTCAGCATTTGTTGCTTGCTGTTGTGTTAAATTTTGCTATTCTGACTGGGGTGAGATGATATCTCATAGTTGTTTTGATTTGCATCTCTCTTAGAGCTAGGGATTTTGAACATTTCTTCATGTGCTTGTTGGCCACCTGAAGGTCTTTGGTGAAACATAAAGTAAATTTATTGTAGATCAAAGAAAATGAGCTTAGGAAAATCAGAGGCACTTGTCCAATTAGGTTTTTAAGTAAAACATTAACTCTTTTCTTTCCTAGCTTTGTGACTGGCTTCATTTTAATGAGAGCAATTTCAGACAATCCTCAAATTGTAGCTCCATTGGACTTCACGAGACACCATCTTTGAATGCTTATGTAAAGAACCTAGTTCAAGAATATATTAAGACTCCTGTTGAGGAAAGAAGTAAGTCTGATACCTTTTGTCTTGTTTTTATTATTGTTAGTACTTTATATTGGTTTGCTTACACAGTTCATGTATATTTTGTTTCACACTACCCCTCATTCACATTGTGTATCATACAGTCATTCCCATTCATTATGTTTTATAAAATTAATCACCATTAAACTGTGCCTGCCATTATCCTCTCTTTCCAGATTCCTCTCAAATCTTTCCCATTTCGTTTACTTGCTCCTCTACCAGATTGTGCAACCCTATGGTTTCTCCATTGCCTGCCCTCACCGCTCAACTCCCTTTCCTTACCCCCTTGATTCCCATACACATTATACTAGCTATCCTCCTAATTGAACAATAATATTTTATTCAGTGCTTGTCCTTATGAGACTGAGTTCATGTACCTTAATACTCTCCCCTCCCTCCCAAGTTAGGTACTAATTTTTGAAATTGTTAGTGCTTTGTCTTGCGTGGTATTCCGTCATTTGAATGTACCACAATTTCTCAGTGCAGTTCAGTTGTGATTGGACATTTGGGCTGTTTGCATGTTCTTGTGATGGTAAATAACACTGCTGTGAACATTGGTGGACAGGTCTTCATTTGTGCCTCAGTTCTCATTTTCTTGGAGTATATTCCAAGCAGTGGAATCACATGGAATCTCTGTGTTCAGTTTTTTTGAGAAAATACTAAACTGCTTTACAGACTGGTTGTATCATTTTTCAGTCCCACCAACAGTGTATGAGGGTTGCTTGCTATTAAACTTTGCTACTGCTTCTGGGATGAGATGGTATCTCATTGTGGTTTTTTGATTTGCATCTCTCTTATTGTCAGTGATTTTGAGCATTTCTTTCTATGTCTGTTGGCCATCTGGATGTCTTCCTCTGTGAAAAGTCTTTCCGTGTCTTTTGCCCATTTTGTAATCAGTCTTTTTCTTGTGGAGGCCCTGTAGGATTCTGTAAACTTTTGATAAGAGACCCTTGTCTGAGATGGTATTGCTAAGTGTTTTTTTCCAAGTCAGCAGATTTCCTTTTTACCCTACTGGAAGAAGATTTTGATGTGCACAGGGATTTAATCTTTAGAGGGTCCCATTCATCAATTTTAATCCTCTCCTGGTTGTGTATTTCTGGTTGTGTTTGTCAACATCTTTGTTAGGCTTTCTAACCCTGGTCCCACTTTGTCTCTTATAATCTTTATGGTTTAGAGGCTGAGACCTTTTTTTTAACATTGTATGTGCATTAAATGAAAGTTTATTATGTATTCCATGATTTGTATACTCAGAGCTGCACGCTGTTGACAGCAGACAGTTGAGCAATGAATAACGATGACAAGAATTGATGTGTTTTAGCCATGATGTTGGAGAAGACAAATGAATATCCCATGGGCTGCCAAAAGAACTAACAAATGTGTCTTGGAGAAAGTTTAGCCAGAGTGCTCCTTTAAGGCAGAGATGACAAAGCTTCATCTCACATGCTCTTGGACATGTTATTAAGGAGAAGTTATTCCGTGGAGAGGGACATTAAATGCAGAGGGTGAGTGAAAGAGAGGAAGAACCTTAATGAGATAGTTTAGTATGGTGATGGCAGCAATGGACTCAAGTGTGTCAGAGATGATGAAGATGGTGGAGGATAGAACAGATCTTTTGTTCATAAGGTTGTTATGAGTTGTACTCAACTGGAGAGCCCCTAGCAACAATAACAAGAAGAAATAAAATGAATGCAAAGAAAGTAGTAGATGTTACTAATTTAATTTCACAGAGGATGAAATGAAAATCTCAGGGAGCTTATTTGACTTGCCCAAGATCTTACAGCTGGTTAGATACGGGACTGGCGTCTGATAACTGGTCTGAGACACTACAACCTCATTGTTGTCTTCCTGTGTTTATGTGAAGAAACTCTCAGCTGGCAACTGAGTATGGAATTGACTTTGAAGTCATCATCTTGTGTTTACTTTGTATTGTGAATGGCAGTTAGTGATAGTACATGTAACAGCTCTCTACCCACTCCCTACCTGTGTGTCTCATTTCCATTCATCCTTCCCACCTTCTGAGCTGTATCCCTGAGCAAGCACTGCCCATTGATCTCGTATGCTTGACTATTCTGAGGAGTGTTATAAGCGTATGTGGTCAATTTTTAGTTGACCCACATAGGTGAGCTCAGTCTCAAAGGATTACTAAAAACCATGGGCTCGGGGGTTCCACCCATCCCTGTAGGACCAGCAAGCCTGGTTATGTTTATGATTTTTTTGTTTTTACTCTTACTTTCTCCCCCCTTCTATCTAAGACCGTGTACCGTGATCTCAGAGCAGTCAGCAGTGGTGGCTGGTCACCCCTCAGTTCTTCTGGTCTTGGGATGGTAGAGGGTGACACTTGTGTGAACAGTGCATGGAATAATTCTTTTTTTCTTTTCTTTTTTTTATACTAGTTTATTTACAAAATTCAAATACATTGTTTTTCAGACCCGTCCAGTTTCACTCACCCCCCCCACCAGACTTATTCTTTTTTTCCATCTTGTTTGCTGTTCTTCACTATTCCTTAACAGGGAGAGACCAATAGTTGTGCCTTTGGAGGCTACTCACAGTTTTGAAGACCCCACGCTGTCCGCAGCCAAGTGGGCTGTGGGACATGTTTGTGGGCGGTGCTACGCTGGCTGCCCTTGTGTTGTCTGAGGGTTCACTGTGTCAAGGGCCCATGACCAGCAGCTCATTCCCTCAGAATGTTGGTAGCCTTGGTGTCGTCCCTGGTAACGTCCTCACAGAGCCTCATGACACAGCCTGTCCCCTTGGCATGCCCTGCCCCCTTGGCACGGCCTGTCTGGGTCTCCTGGCCTCTCTCCTCCCTGTTCTGCCGCCTCACCTTTGGCTCCCGTAGTACACCTGCCGTGCATTGGCGTTCTTCTGTTTTTCTGCCCATGACAAAGCATCTTTACATGAGCTGCATCATGTCTGAAGTGTTCTCTCCTTCACCTGGCTCACTCCTGCTGTGTTTGGCCCTTCTCAGATGTTTCTTCCTGAAAACACTCCCTGACTCCCCAGAGGACAGACAGCAGGTCCCCCTGGGGTGCCCTCCGGTGGCAGTGAGCGTGTCTTTGTGGCCCTTACTTCAGTTGATAACTTTACGTTTCTTTATTGGTTCTGCGTTTCATTGTCTGTATGTTTATAGTTTAGTGCTTTTCTCTATCTACCTTAAATCCCATGAATTTAGGATTCTGGCACCCAGGGCAGGACAGGGCTTGCAGTAGACAGCAAAGATTTACTTTAGTCATATTCACCATGTGCATGTGTTCATATTTGAATATGTAAAATCATGTCAGTGTTCATTTTTTAATGTGTATAATAACAATGCTCCGTGTTGTAGGCTGTTCTTATGTGTTCCGTGTGAGCTGTATTTCTCTCATAGTTCACTGTAGATGAGGTATAATCACGAGAATTTATTAATACTTTGTAAACCTTAAAACGTTTTTATTCTCAGGAGACAGCTCCTGTCTGCCTGATTGGTCTGAAGCAAGACGTGTTGCCGTGATGGTCTTGCTGGCTGTGGATGTGGAGGAAAGGAGGGGTTGTCCTGGGTAAGTACTTGAAATGTGATGCGAGCACTTTCCAAATACTGGTCAGATTTACACAGGGTGTTAAGGGATTTTGTGAGTGGTGATAGGGAGAGAATTAGAACATTGGCAACAGAAGTAGTAAGATAAAAAGAAATGTTTTAGATTAGGAGTCTTTAATAGGAATAAGGACATATTCTTACTTAAGATGGGAAGCTCTGGTGGCTACCACTAGGTAAGGAGTTGTGTTACATACTCAGAGGTACATGGTTCAAATTCACCATGTGCACAGTAGGAAGAAGACATGGAGTCTCCTTTCTTACAACATAATGCCTCTGAAAATCTGCTGGAGGTTCAGCTCTGAGTCATTTCCGACTTGATGGTACATCACCACAACTTGTTAAATAAGAAGAGCATCAACACTGACAGAGCCTTCTAGTCAGAACTGACTTCTAACTGACCTTCCAGTGGATTTTGGAGGTTCTGAGTCTCATTTGGGGCAGGTTGCCATCTTTCCCCTGTGGATTGGCTGCTAGACGCGAACCTTCAGAAAGGTGCCAGCTTTTTGGGTTAGTCATGCAACTCCCTGCAGAAACATCTGCAGGGATCACTGGTTACCATATCAGAACAAGGAGTTTTGAGTTCCTAGCATAGGATTAGGTTAAAAGCTCAGGTAGCTTTTATGGGTAAGGAGTTGTGCTGCCAACTCAAAAGTAGGTGCTTCAAATCACCGGCTGCTTCATGGGAGAAAGATGGGTGGTCCTCTCCCGTGTCATTTTCTGCCTGTGAAAACCCACCAGAGGGTCAGCTGTGATTTGGTTCTGACTTGACAGTGCTCAACAATAGGATGTATAATTTTAAAAATCATAATAATACAGATAACATCATCTTGTTTATATTTTGAAAATGTGAACAGATCAATTCTCACTAGTTTTTGCCCAAAGCAGCTTCATTTGGTAGTATATTGCATGATGTACACAGTTAATTTTATTGGTATCAAATGTCTGTTCTAAATAAATTTTTCATACTGAAGTTGCATATATAATTTTTTCCCAGATCCTTAATTATGCTTCTTCATTTTGTTTGCTGTCTCATTTTCCGGATAAGCATACTTGTACGACGGAACAGTTGGCTGTAGGATTTATTTCATACTTGTCCCTAGAGTCAAGTACAGCTGAGTTTTCGTCCCCAGTGAGTGTCTGATTCACTGAGAAAACACAGGCCAAAAGGTCAGCAAGGTTATCAGAGGGAAAGTCAGTCCGTTTGGAGTGTCCATAGCATCATTTTGTCCCATTGAATGACATAGGCAGCCAACTCCCTAAATGATAGGTGGGGAAGCAGTTTCTTTGTACTTTCAAAATGCTTGATTTGGGCATGTCTTTTAATATCTAGTGGAGAACGGAGAATACAGAATGTGTTAAGGATATTCTTAGACCCTCTCCTGGATGCCCTTGTGAAGTTTGGTACAAATGCCTACATGCCCTTGCTGAAAACTGACAGATGCCTGCAGTTGCTGTTGAAGTTATTGCATACTTGCTTGTTGAGAGGTTCCGGTGCCCACGATGGTGAGGATCAAGAGTTTCTGTTGGGTTCTTGACTGGTACGTCCTCAGTATTGAGAATGAGACGGCTTCTCTGACCTTTGATGACACACAGTGCATCAGTCACTCAGCAGATGTTTGTTGAGTATCCTCTGCACCTTTGCCCCATGGAGTCGACATTCTGGTGGCTTACACTCATTGGTCCATGGATATTTTTAGAGTATGGTCACATTCTTTTTAAAAAAAATTGAAAATTATCTGTATCTTGCATGTTAAATTAAAATTCATTTACTTATGATGCTAGATGTCACAGAGCATAAACTTACACATGAAAATGACAGCAATTTATGATTATTTAGCTTTAAATATGTTCCTCTCTGAAAACCTTTAAACTAAGACTATAATTACACAGAAATTGTAGTGGTAGGAGGTAGAGGTGTGAAGCTTTCCCCTCAAACTCGACACAAAAGGAGAAACACTTCAAGACCTACGATCACATGGGGGCTTGTTGAAAGATGAGCCTCAATTCCCAGTCCTTTCTGTCTAGCTTCATTAGAATTTCAGAAACCTGCTAGTTAAATATTAAAAAAGCATTAGGTGTTAGGCTAAAATTGAGAGTAATGTTGAGAAGATTAGAATTTAATGGTTATGAAAAACTGATTTCTGAATCTTCCTATTTTTAGTGTTTGTAGCAGAACCAAATAAAGAGCCCATTTTTCCAAGTTTTCCGCTCCTGATGGCCATGAGTCAGAGTACGATAGCCTTTCTTAACTAACAGACTGCATGCTCAGTGCTTTGAAGTGCAAGGCTCATTCACAGATGGCTTTTCACAAGAGCTGTGCTTCAGTGGCAGTGTGTTATTTTCACCTTCTCATTTTTACTTGTAATTTGAACAGAAGTTTACGAAGCAAGTTGGTTTTTCATTCACTCATTCATCACATTTTGATTTAAAACACTAATTACAATACCCCAATGTCTGCTCTTCCCCTTAGTGCATCTTGCCTTTTCCATCACCCATCTAAAAAAGATCTATTTAATTTTTTACACCTTCCCCCTCCTAGTAGTGATTTTACACAGTACTTTCCCTTTTTGTACTTTATTTTATACAGTCATTCATATACACTCTGTTTTATTCATGTACATTGTGTTTTACACAGTCATTTGTACATATTGTCGTTTTGTAACTGACTTAGTTGAGCATGAGGTATGTCTCTAAAAAATTCTTTCATTTGATACAAATAATAGAATGTGTGGTAGTTATGCAAAGTGGTTCAACATTTATGAACTCAACACCCAGCCTTGGTGCAAATGTTCATCTTCCATTCTCCCCTTTTCTGTTTTCCTTTTTGTCTAACATATACTTTAAAAATGATTTTGTCTTGCCTGTAGATATGCTAAGCATACATTAAGCTTGAAATGTTTTCTTACTACAAGCAGCCTTCCGTTCATGAGTGCCCCTCCTTGTGGCTCATGAGCTCCCTGCTGTCCCGTCTTCATTGTGTGATGACACCATTGTCTCCTGCTGCCAGACATCTGGGCTGTGCTCAGGTTTTCCTGTTACGTACAGTGCTCCCTTATAAACCTTCCTCCTCATCTCCTAATACATCCACCTGAGTCTGTCACTCATTGTCTTTGAGTGAAAACCAACTCCTAACTGACCCTCTGGTGGGTTTTTAGAGGCTGTAAAACACACAAAAGGAGATTTCCCATCCTTCTCCTGAGGAGCAGCTGGTGGATTCGAGCCACTGGAGGCACCACCTTTTGGTTTGTAGTGCAGTCTCCTACCAACTATGGCACCAGAGCTGCCTACATAAATGTAAACAAGTTATTACTGTAAAACGTTTCCATAGTTCTTTTTCCTTTTACATAGAAAATAACTGCAATATTTTTTGTCCTATTTGAAGAACTGTACCTTGAGATACATTATGACTATTGGTTACATTGAATTGATAGGACCAGTCCATTGTCTTAAATAATGCTCCCTCACCTGTCCTAACTGCAGACTGGATTTGTCTCTGTTCAGGCCGGGGTCCTCCTGGTTGAGTCTCGTTTATTTCCTAGGTGGTGGTTGTTTTCTGGATTTGATTCATCTCATACATCTTGTTTGACTTTTCTTCCCAAGGTAACTTTCTAACCAACTTTGGTACCACTTCACTTGGGATTGAGGTTTTTTTGCTCTCAGTGACTTAAGGCCTAGACTAGAAGACGACGAACCATAAACCCATCCTGGCTGTCTTCATTCACAAACACTGTGCATGTTATGGTAGCATGGTGTTCAGTGTGGTGATGATGACGGGTGTTTGAGCTGAAAGCAAAATTGAGGTTCTTCTGTGTGGTGATGTTAAAGCCCATTGTGGTCGTGAGACTAAGACTGGAAGCAGTGATTTCCTACTTGTCATTCTGTTCTCTGTTCTTCAAGCCTAAGTTTCCTTTGTGAGTGTCAATTTCTTTTAATCTAATGAGACAAGTAGTGTTTATGCTGTTGGCATAAACTTGTGTTTGTAGTTCTTGTTGTTATGTGCCGTCGAGTCGTTTTCGACTCATAGCGACCCTGTGCACAACAGTCCTAAATCCTGCTCTATCCTGCACCAACCACACTGCCTCCAACACACCCATCCCGATTACCCCAGTCACCGAATCAATCCATCTCATAGAGGGTCTTCCCCTCATGCGCTGTCCCTCCACCCTCCCAAGCATGATGTCCCTCTCCAAGGACCCGTCCCTCCTGGCAACATGTCCAAAGTATGTCAGACGAAGCCCCAG